CCAGGCATGTGCCCTTGACTGGAATCGAACCCAGGACCCTTCAGTCCATAGGATGACTGACGCTCTATCCTCTGAGACAAACTGGCTAGCCACCCACCCCCCCCTGCACTGATTTTTAGAGGGGAGGTGGAGAGACAGCAAGAGAGAAACATTGATGTGAGAAAGACTTATTGATTGGCTGCCTCCTACACATGCCCTGACCAGGGCCTGGGATCGAGCCTGAAACCCAGATATGTGTCCTTGACTGTAGTCAAACCTGTGACTCTTCAGTCCATGGGTCCATGCTCTAACCACTGAGATAAACTGGCTAGGGTGGATTTTTTTTTTAATTGATTTTTTATAGAGAGGAAGGGAGAGGGAGAGAGAGAGAGAAACATCAATCAGCTGCCTCCTGCACACCCCCTACTGAGGATGTGCCCACAACCAAGGCACATGCCCTTGACCAGAATCGAACCTGGGACCTTTCAGTCCGCAGGCCGACGCTCTATCCACTGAGCCAAACCGGTTAAGGCTATGGATATTTTAATCAGAATTATAACTGCACTGATGAATTTGCCACTAATGAATAAATTTCTCCACAATATCTCTCCTGTGCTCACCCTAAGGGCCACTCCTGTTTCTAAATACTGTCAAGCTCATTACTGCTTTAGGGTCTTTAGCATCTGATATCTACTCTGCCTCAAATACATTTTCCTGGCTGTTTCCTTCTTATCATTCAAGTCTTAGCTCAATGTCACCTCCTGAGAGGGCAGCCACCTGTGACCACCTTATCTAAAGTCCTCCCTGCACCCAGAGTCTATCGCATTGCTCTATTTATTCTATAAATAACACATTAATCGTTACCTAAAACGATCGTATTTGTTTACCTCATCTCTATTCGAATATGAATTCTATGAAAGTAGAGGTCTTTCCTGTCTTATTCAGGATGGGCAGTGTCTGGCAAATAGAAATGGAGGCCCAAAGAGAGTAAGTGACTTCCCCAAAGTTGCACAGCTAGTCAGTGTTGGAGCCAGACTGCATGGCTCCGAATTCAGAGCTTTCTGTTAAAACATAGCTACTCTTTCCAGGTTAAAGAAGAGAAAAAAGAAAAGAAAAGAAACCTGGGTGGAGGGAGGGGACAGAAAGACAAAGAAAAGAGAAAGGAAGCAAGAAAGGGGGAGGAAGGAAAAGGAAGAATGAGCGTGCACACCTAGACGTTTTCAGATCCGGGCCTTGTCGTTATTTTAAGCAGGTTTTGCTATTGTCACTGACCCTCAGGGCATTTTGTTCTAGTGTTGCATACAGTTTATAACCTCCTACTGAGTGGCCCCAGACGGTGAGGGATGTACCCAGGAAACTGTGAACAAGCAGCAAATGTTTCTGGTTGAAGATAACTCCTCCGGAGCCTAAGCTTCTCCTACTAACAGCGTGCACACCTAGACGTTTTCAGATCCGGGCCTTGTCGTTATTTTAAGCAGGTTTTGCTATTGTCACTGACCCTCAGGGCATTTTGTTCTAGTGTTGCATACAGTTTATAACCTCCTACTGAGTGGCCCCAGACGGTGAGGGATGAACCCAGGAAACTGTGAACAAGCAGCAAATGTTTCTGGTTGAAGATGACTCCAGATCCTAAGCTTCCCCTACTAATGTGCTCTGCTTCAGGAAACAATTAGCCTTTTATCCAACTCGATATATAGGGTGTCCTAAAAAAATGCATACACACTGCCCCGCCGCCGGCATGGCTCTGAAGTGGAGTGTCCACTATGAACCAGGAGGTCACGGTTGGATTCCCAGTCAGGGCACGGGTTTCAGGCCCCTGTTGTGGGGCGCGCAGGAGGCAGCCCATGGGTGATTCTCTCTCATCATTGACATTTCTATCCCTCTCCCTTTCTCTGAAATCAATAAAAACATTTTTTTTAAAAATGTGGACCAATTAATAAGATCGGCTCAGCTGATTGGTTTTATTTATTTATTTTTAATATATACTTTTATTGATTTCAGAGAGGAAGGGAGAGAGAGAAACATCAATGATGAGAAAGAAGCATCCGCCGGCCGCCTCCTGCACGCCCCCCAGTGGGGACCGAGCCCACAACCCGGGCATGTGCCCTTGACGGGACTCGAACCTGGGACCCATCAGTCCCCAGGCCCATGTTCTGTCCACTGAGCCAAACCAGCTAGGGCTCAACTGATTGGTTTTAGAAGGACTTGCTTCCATGTTAACTAATCAGCGCAGCACTGCTATGGCCCGTCTAAGGGCTCGCTGCCTCCTCTCCTCTTCCCTCTGCGCCCGGGTCATCTCAGTCCCTTGGCTGAAATCGGTCCCCCGGAAGGTCGCCGGGGTCAGCGCCCGGAGCATGCCGGGAGTTGTAGTAGCGGCCACTC